TTCAGAAGTTTTCTAAACTTCATACTCTTGAAATATTTAGCTTTATTTTGAAACTCTTGCCCCATTCAAATGAATGGAAAATTCTACTTCAGCATAATTTCAGCTATCAAAATGTTCAGCTCCTCAAGGACATTCATGCTTCTCTTCAGAATTTTTGTAAACTTCATACTTTTAAAATATTTAGCTTTATTTTGAAACTCTTGCCCCATTCAAATAAATGGGGAAATTCCAACTTCGGTATACTTTCAGCTAGCAAAAGCATTCAGGTGTCAAAATGTTCAGCTTTTTCAGGGCGATTTTTCAGCACTCAGCATCCATGCACATTTTCTTCAGAAAATGCAATTTTCTAGTTTGAAATAAATTATAAAAGATTATGTTAATATGTTAAATTTATTTTTTCATCTACTGTCCATTACGCTGTTTGCCAAATAGTCTGATTTTATTTTGTTGGTGGGCTCAGATTCTCTCAGACTTTGTCAAAGACTGAGATGTATTAGTATTTCTTTGAAATCTGTTTACTGTGTCAAATCTTTCCATCGCCTGCTTTGATGGTCAAAGGAGGGGAAATCATGTCTTGTTATTTCATTAGCTGCACATTAGCAATTTTAATATGATTTTGATATTCTGCTTTTTACGTCTGACTGTTTAAAATGTAACATAAAATGTAGTTAGTATAAATATTTGCAATTTATATATGTGATGAAATATTACAAAAACACATTAAATGAATAATGATATAATAAATCTTTGCTTTTTTTATTTATTTGTTTATTTATGTATTTATTTTAAAACAAGTCAAGGGATAAATTAAAGTGGGGAAAAGAAAAAGGCAGTGTTCAATAAACTTCTCTTTAGCATCTGCCCCCCACTAATAATTTTTGTACAGTCCCTTAGTTTTTGTCAGTGAACAAATGCAAAGGGAAGACAAGGGTAGAAGATGATGCCCAGGATAACACCAATGTTGCCAAATGCCAGCACTGATGCTTGTTGACATGAATGTCCTCACAGTAGCATGGAGCAACAGACAGCTGCTGAGAGCAGACTAGATGGAAAAAGAACAATCACTGTCATCTCAGGTATGTGTGTGTGGGAGTGTACAGAACAGGTCATGGAGTCAGTGAAGTCAATATGTGTGTGAGGTGACATGATGATGCATGTTCTTGTGGGTTAGCTACCTGTAGTGCTGTACAGGTGTGAGTGACAGAGGCAGAAACACAAAGTTGGAGGGTGGTACACACTGACCTTAGCCTACACACGCATATACATGTTCAGCCATGTCTATACAGACATATGTATATGTCTGCTTGGCTGGGCTTCTGGATTATGTGCCTACGGGTGTGTGTACGTGATGTGAGTTGGATGAGTGTGCCCACCATTTCTTGGGTGCTGGAAGGAAGGGGAGTACTGCTTGGCAGTGACCCTGGCTATGCGACTCTCGTCCTGGGCTTTTTGAGCTGCTGCCACCGCTGCCTCTGCTTTGCCCTGTGCATGAGCCGTCCTGACACAAAGAAGACAGGGAACAGATTGAAATGAGTACAGTAAAGAAGGCAAACTTTAACTAAAAAAGTATAACAGACTGGAAGAAAAGAGAACACATAAACACTGTCCAAAACTACTGTAGGTAAAAAACAGTAACTGACCCTTGGAATAATAAAACTACTTATACTGCACCAAAGTGTTTCAGTTTTTCACTGATAATGTATACTGTATGAGTGTCTCTGGTTAAACCCTGGTTTATTCAATACACACACCTCTATTCACCTGTATTAACTTTGTATTAGATTTTGTGAATGTATCTATTTAGCAAGCTAGCTCTATATAAAGATTCATTCCTAACACTCTCAGTCCCATCAACTTAACTGATCAGACAACTGTTTCTGGTCAGTAACAGTGAGTGCTATCACCAGACAATCATTGAGATATGAGCAGTGATTTAATGTTTGAATGTAGCTTTAATGTGAAAACACTGCATTAAAATAGGTTTGTAGCTTGTATATAGACCTTCAAAGCTTTGTTTTCATGATTATGGAAACTTTAATAATACATCTAAATATAATCACATCACTGTTGTGTACATAAGAAGCATTTATATTCAGATATTGTTTTTAAAAGAGTGCTATGTACATACAACTCCTTTCATATCTGTTCTATCTGCTCTAAGTGTCTTGCTATGGAGGACAAGTAAGACAACATTACAGTGTGATGAGGTAGTATGTACTCATCTGTTTACAGGCACTGTAATCTCTTGCTTGAAAATTGGTTTAATCACAAAATAATTTACCTCACAGCCTCTCTACGTGTCGGGCTACCCACATCTCTTTCATCTCTGTAACTGCTTCTTTACAGTCCCCTATTCATAACTCTCTTGCTTTCTTTTGATTTCTGCCAATTTTCTTTTCTGCCCCTTCCTAATTGCTCCTTCCTTCTTTATCACAATTCCCTTTTCATCTGCCTCATGTGTTTTTCTTCTTTCTATGGTAATATCAAATAGATATTTTCTCTCAATTACAATCCTCTTCTTAACTTTGTCTCTCTCTTTCTTTTGCCTATCCTCCTCCTTTTAAGGCTCTAAACTCATGTGCAATAGCCTCTCCTTTCCAAACTCCCTCCCTCTCTTCTCTCTCTTGGCAGTAACAGTCTTGATGCAGTGTTGCATGTCGATGGCTATTGATTTTCCTGCCTCTCTGCACTCTGCCAGCACTGCTAGGCCAGGCCCGCAGTATACTCAACACCACCGTGTATGTGAGTTCATGCCTGATGGCTGTGGAGGAGATGAGGTGTAAGGAGGGAGATGAAGACTGCATCACATGACACAATCAATGCAAAATTTGTTTTTGCTGAAATTTTATATTCACAAGGTTTAAATGTCACGAATTAGCTGCTATCCATGACACACACTCTTGCTAATATGGCACAACCTGCTCTCACTTTGGTGCTTACTACAGATCACAAAAGACCTAATCTCTGTATCATCCTTCTCTCCACAACTTCCTGTCCCTCTACTGTCTTTCCAGGGAACAACCTGGTTTTGGAGGAATCAACTGCCTGGAGAGAAAAGAGCTGCCTGTTCAAAGAGAACTTGATTATACAACACATCCTGTCCAAAAGAAAAAAGGGCCATATGAAGAAAGAAGATGGAGTTATTAGGTGTTATGTATTCAATATCAATGAATCATTACCAGATTAATTGTGAGAAAGTGTAATTACAGCTGAGAAATAATGACAACCTCTGCTTTAAAGTTACAGACCAACAGCAATATCTTCTTTATGACAGGAAGTCATGGGGTTTATGAGAAAATGTTTGAAGGCCATTAGCAATAAGACAGCGCTGCCCACTGTTACTGTTACTAGTTTAACATACTGTATCATCATGTGTATTAATCATATATCAACAGTGCTTTTAGTGTGAATGTGTTGATATGATCACATTGTATTATTGTTCACCATGGTCACTAGGCATCATCCCATGGAGAACATAAATGTTTGTACCATAGACTATATATATAAAGATGGATGACACGTCACCACTTCCCTCCACCAGTGGCGCCTGCAGGATTATATTCCACAGTACACACAAGAACCACCTATGATAACGTATTGGCCAGATAGAAAAAATTTGCAAAATCATTTAAAAAAATGCAGACACAATGTGTACGGGGTTATAGCTGAAGGCTCCACTTCCCTCCGTTATGCTAATGTGAAGCTAAAATATTATGAATACAGCGGCTGCCATCTTGGCATTTTGCAACCAGATTCTGTGCCGTAGTGATGACATGAAGTGTAGACCGCCAATCAAGGCTGTCAAATATACCAAAATATATGCCCCTCCACCCTCACCACCATATCATCAAATGAACTTATCAAAACAAACATATCAGGAAAATGACCACACAAATCAGCATGATGATATCTACCAGAAACAACAGGAATCACCTCCAAGAAAAATTTATTTTATTTGTACTTTGAATTTTTTATTTGTCTCACATTCCATCTGCTAACATGGAGGAAGCGAGATTGATGGCCTATATGGCAACCAGCCACCAGGGGGGCAAACGAGTCACAGTAGCTTCACTTCTGGGAGATGTCCTGTCATTCATATTTGTTTCATTTTTACAGTCTAAATACAAATAAAAAATTTTAGTGAGCTACTTATGTGCCATTTGACTTTAAAGTTATGCTAGGCTACTTGTGTGGGTATAAATGGCTACCCGGCATGCTAATGTTTGTGGTTTACTTCAGAGCAGATGTGTAGTCTGCTTCTTAAATGATGATTTTTGGTCTGGTAAGCCAAAAAACAAAAGGCAAAGCTCTCTAAATTCTTTATATACAGTGTCAGTGGTGGTGAAATCCAAAGCTTGACAGGCATGCTGTGCCTAGCTATGATAACCAGGCTATGATTGGACAATCAGCATTTGTTTACAGTCAGTCATTGGTGGAAAGTAATTAAGCACATTTCCTCAGGTACTGTATTTACAGTAAGCACAATTTTGAGGTACCTGTACTTTATTTGAGTATTTTCATTTTGCGTTACTTCATACTTTAACTTTATTACATTTTAGAGGAAATTATGGTAAAAGTACTTCAGACTGTAAGCATATAAGCTTGTTAAATCTATCTCCGCTTTTACCAGTTGCAACATTAAATGTGATATACACAATAATGCATCAACAATTATAATTCAGTAATGACATACATTGTTAAATGTGCCATTCTGCATAATAAGTACTTTTAGTACTTGAAATATGTTTTGATGGTAATACTTTGTACCTTTACTTAAGTAACATTTTGAATGCAGTTACTTTCCACCACTGACTGACTTATAAGTGTTTTTACACTGTGCTATTGCTACTTTTAAGTAAAGGATCTGAATACTGCAGTCAGTTACACAAAAGTATTACAATGCGACATGTAACACCTTTAAGTGGACAGAGTGAATGACTAGGGATACCAAGGACAAAAGAACAAGACAAATAAAGGACAACAAAGATGATGAGAACCAAAACAAGCAGAAGGTCCACACAGAGGAGGACAACCAAGCACATGAGGTAAGGTGGACAGAGACAGGAAGACAAAGTCTAATCCAGGACTTGTCATGTACTGATACAGGAGGACCCAAATTGCAGACACACACACCCTGGGAGTGAAAACACTGAGTTTATTGTATATACAAAAGGTGAGGTTAGTTGGTGGACAAGACAGGGGACAGAGGCGGAACTGGGGATGAAGGCAGGCCGGCAGCGTGGAGCTGGGGACGAAGGCGAGTGGAGGACCTGGGAGTGCAGAGCGGGAGAGTGCAGAGTCAGGGAACAGAGAGCTGAAGCGTGCAGAGCCGGGGAACGGAGAGCTGGAGAGTGTAGTGCTGGGGGACAGAGAGATGGAGAATGTAGCACCGGGGAACGGAGAGCTGGATAGTGTAGCGCCAGGGAACAGAAAGCTGGGGAGTGCAGAGTCGGGGAATGAAGAACTGGAGCTGGGGAGCGAAGAGCACAGAGCCAGAGAACAGAGAGCTGGAGAGTGCAAAACGTGTGATGAACCAGTGGGAGAACTAACTTCATATATATGGGAAACTGAAATGTGAGGTAATGAGTGGCAGGTGGATGTGATGAGGGCTGATTGTGCTGGCTGGGCTGACGTGGCAGTGGAGACATAGAATCCAGGGAGAAAGAGGACACGAAGGTCCAAACCATGACAGGACCTGCACTAAGCTCCTCCATCATGTGTGTCATTTCTTTGAATCAGCTGATAATGATTCATACCTGAATATCTAACAGGGCTTCCTGCTTTACATCGCTGCTAATACTGTGTGTGTGTGTGCATGTGTAGGGCTTTAGGCTCGTTGGTAAATTGAGATCATAGGATTGCAGTGTATGGCTTGGTTTACAAAGTACAGTGAGTCACTGGTGTTCAGTACACTTCAGCACACATGACTACAATGATCAGGACACATCAGCTTTGTATCACACACACAAACACACACACACACGTGTTTGAATTAACTGTTTCCTGAAAGTACCCACTGAAGGACAAGTATTTATTTAGTTGCAATAAAAGCTTTTGTAGTGCACTGGAACAATTGCATGAGTGGAGTGGAGTCAGTTCTTAGTCATTATGGGATGATACTGCAATGTCACTTGGTCAGTCAGTTCACATTGTAGACAACTATTAGACAAACTGACTAAATTTTATATTATTCCCAGAGGATCAATCCTATGACTTTGATGATGTGCTCCCTTTTCTCTTCTTCTTCTCTCCCAGCAGGTTGACATTCTTGGGTGTTACACATCCATTGGATGGATTGCATTTGGTGGACACGTTCATGTTCACCTCATAATCAACTGTAATAACCTTCCTCTAGTACTAACTTCAGGTCAAACTGTAATTTTTCCAGTACTTTTGTTTGTGGCCAAATACCTGCAAAGCCAATGACATTCTTCTCACCCTGCTGTAGTTTGTAGTAAATGTTTGCACGCTAAATCGCTAGGCATTTAGCTCAAAGCC